AAGGAAATGGGACGCGAATCCCTGATAAACAACTTATCGTCACGCACCTTAACTGACTACAAGAAACAAGCACCGAGTCTTGGACTCGAATTTACCACCAACATACACAAACCTAACTATCAACTCAATCTAGTTACCAGGAACCAAAGACACAGTGACAGCAACTTCCAAAAGGGCTATATACAGGGCCTTCTCACTGCAGCTTTGTGAACCACCACCTTCTAATCTTCCTAGACGATACATCACTGCCCTTAAGGACCTCGCCAACGACCCAACATTATTGTCCCACCGCCGACAAAGGAGGTGGAGTCGTCATACTCAACACCAGTGACTACAACACTAAAATGCTGGACCTTTTGAATGATCAATCTACATGTGAACCCATCAGCACTCAACAGTGGGAGACTCTCACCAAAGATTTTCTATACAAAACCAGACAAATACTCAAACGCACTAGAGAAGGGAAAAAACTTCTGTACTTGTTACCAAGCAACCCTAAACCAACACACATGTATGGTTTACCCAAAACCCATAAACACAATATTCCTCTCAGACCAATCACGTCAGGAATAGGCAGTGCTCCACACAAACTAGCCGGAGTTCTTGCCAAACATCTTTCCTCCCTTCTGGGGACCATCAGCCCCGCTCATCTTAAACACTCAGGCGACCTTCTCAACTGCATCCGAAACCTCTCCATCTGTAACAAGAAACTAAGCAGTTTGGACGTGACTTCCCTCTTCACAAAAGTACCTACCACAAAAGCCATCGGGGTTCTACAACAAAGTCGATCAGGACCTTAATCTTCCTCTACCTCCCGGAGATTTTGTTGACTTGATTGAACTCTGTGTTAATTTCAACTGTTTTTCTTTCAATAACAAGCTCTACAAACAAACCTACGGCATGGGAATGGGGTCCCCCATCAGTGCCGTCCTAGCCAACTTATACATGGAACACCTAGAGTCCGAACACTTCGCCAACATCATCCCTTCAAGCGTCACTTGGTTATGTTATGTGGACGACGTCCTCGTAATAACTCCCAAACGTTTTGATGTACGGAATCTTCAGGCAAGGCTCAACGCAGTTGAACCGGCGATCCAGTTTACACTAGAAGAAGAGTCCAATGACAAGCTACCTTTCCTCGACGTCCTCATTCACAAAGTAGACAACAACCTAAGATTTCAAGTTTATCGGAAACCTACCAATAAAAATGATCTCACACACTTCTATTCCAGTCAAGATACCAAGACAAAAAGAGGCATCATCATCGGGTTTTTCCTAAGAGCATACCGAATTTGTAGTCCTGAGTTTCTTGACGAGGAATGTACATACATTCACCAAACATTCACTGGGTTACATTTTCCTTCCCTTTTCATCAAAGACTGCAAGAAAAGAGCTCTTCAGATCATTAATTCTCCACGCACCAACACCACTCCCAACAAAGTTATAATTCTTCCCAACAGCCAGGTTGCACTGAACGTTTCTAAAATACTTTCACAAGCTAACACCAGTCGCCATCGCTTCTAGCACTTCAATAAAGGATCTAACCAGGAAAAAATCAAAGCACCATGAACCAGTCAATGCAGGAGTTTACACTATACCCTGTGGAGGCTGTGGCAAGATTTACGTAGGTGAAACAGCAAGAAACCTTGACACCCACCTCAATGAACACATTTACGCATGTAGGAATGATAACTTGAACAACGCCTGTGTACAACACCGAAATTCCACCAATCATCTCATGAAATTCAGGGACGCCCAATTAGTGATCAAAGAAACTAATTTCCGCAGACGCAAGTGCCTCAAATCAGCACTGATCACAGTTTCGAATACAATTAAACAAAACAACGGCAGCTTCACCATCTCTGAAGTCTTAGCAAGAATCCTCCTGAAAACGGTAAACCCTGCCATCACATAGTCACTCCTGTTATACTACATAAAGCACATTACAGAGAGTGAACACTGAAACAGGCTGCCTCTATCCAGTCTACATTTGTCCAACCTATTTTTATGTTACCCAAGTAATAGCTTTTATATCCTTTTGCTCATGTATGAATTAATTGCTCTACCATATTGTATTACTACTACAACTTTTGTCACTCCTACTACTACCACTAGTATTGCACCTCACTCTGAGCCTATATATACCCTCTGTGTCCATGTATTGTTTGTAATGGCTTGATAAAGCTCCTGGAGAGCGAAACGTTGCCACAATAAAATGTCACATTAGTTGCACTCGAGTCTTGTGATGGGTGATCTGTTTAGCATTATGTTAAGTGGAACATTTGCAGCTCTGCTTCCAAACTGAATGAAATAGGTTTTGTCAGTATTGTGGGTAAGCTTATTAGTCGTCATCCAGTTAAGACATTTTCTGCAATTCGGCATTAACAGTGTTGGCCAGTATGACTGGGTTTGGGTGAGAGAAGACGTATATAGTGTCATCTGCAAATAATATGGGTTTGAGTAGTTGTGATGCATTCAGAGGTCATTGATGTAAATGAGAAAGAGGAGTGGGCCAAGGACACTTCCTTGTGGGACACCAAATGTGACTGGTTGAGTGGAAGAGGTTGCTTCATTTGTGTACACATATTGGCTTCTGTTACAAAGGTATGACTTCAGGTAGCTGAAGGAGTGCCCTCTTATACCAGTGTTAATTTCATGTGCAGCAAATCATGATCGACTGTATCAAAAACTTTACGTAAATCAATAAAGATTCCCAGAGGGACTTCTTTCTTCTTGAGAGCGATGTATATCAGTTCTAGCATGTTGTGTGAAATGAGGTAGGAACAGAGCTCTCTTTGAATTAATTTTTCCAAGATTTTAGAGAGCAGAGGTAAGTTAGATATTAGTCTATAGTTATTCAAGTCCACTTGGTCACCTCCTTTGTGGATCAGGGTGACCTCTCGCTATTTTGAGAATTGCTGGGAAGGTGGAGGATTTGATGGATTTGTTAAAGAATGTTGCAATACTGTAACTGATGGCAGTAGTTGTGAAGCTTTTTCTGTACATAAAAGGTGGTAAGTTGTTTGTCTCCTGCCTTGTTTTTTAAGGGTGTTGATGATGAACGACACTTCTGTTGGGTTGGTTGGGGCTAGGAATAGTGTATTCAGGTAGGTGCCCATGAAGTAGTCTGATGGACGGGTGTTTGAGTTTGGAATTTTGCTCACTAGATTCTTTCCTATGGTGGAGAAGAAAACATCGAGTCTGTCTGCTGCTTCAGTTGGTGGGAGTAGGGGTTTATCTGATATTGTAAATTTGACTGTTTTGATTTTGAATATCTTTTTAGTTCCTAGAATTTCAGACAGGGTTTTCCAGGTCTTTTTCATATCCCCTTTTATATTATGTAATCTGTTTTCATAATTTTCTTGACCACCTTATCAGGCTGGTAAGGATTGACGAGTAACGTTTAGAAGGGTCTAGTTATTTGATGCAGTCTGTATTGTTTTTCATATAGGTGCTCTGTGTTATAGATTTAAGGTTGCTGGGTGTTAGCCAGGGACTGTTCAGTCTCTTAGCTGTGATCCATTTAGCTTTTTTTAGGGCAATGCTTGTTATAGAGGTAGCGTTTTTCTTTTTTTAGAAAATTATTAATACATTCATTCGTATCTGCATGTGTTTCAAGCTCATTATGCCAATCTGTTATTAACAGCTGTCTCATTATGTAGTCTGAAGGTAACTTTAGTAGTGTCTTGGGGCAATTTACCTAGGTTGGTTATGAGAAAGGTAGGGTAGTGGTCTGTGATTATGCCTGATTTTAAAGGGGATGTGGTCTAATAAGGAGATACTAGTCTTGGAGGTTATTGTTGGTAGCAACAAGCAGTTGCTCAGTGTTTGTGAATTCGGTTACTTGTGGGTCCTGGTCATGTACGAGATTTATGCTGAAATCTGTGAGCAGTAAGTGGTCTGTGTTCATATGTGGATCAGTTATGTTTCCTAATTTTTCACTAAGATGGTTAATGTTTGACTGTGGTACTCTGTAGATGTTTATCACTGAGGGGTTTTTGCAGGTCTTTTGATTTCAATTTAGCTATAATATATTCTCCATGTTCATCCCTTGTGCAAGAATTATTGATACATTCAAGTTGATCCGAGTAGTATATAGCTGTTCCACCCCCTTGCTGGTCTGTCCTACAGTTGTGTATGGATGTGTAACCAGGAATGGCATAGACACCTGTAGTGCCAGGTTTCTGGTATGCAGGGAAATTGAGTAATGCTGTGAGGTCATCGTAATGTTTGCTCAAAGATCTGACATTGTAATTAAAGATAGTTATGTTATTGTTGGCTCTGAGTATGTTATGTTTTTGCTTGGTCTGCTGTAAAATTACAGTTGCTGTTCAATATCAGGATCAGTGCTTGTAATTATAAGTTTGAGAGTGACTCTACAACTAGACCAAACCCTTGTGGCTTAGCGCTTCTTTTTAATTATAATAATAATACAACTCAATTTCTGAATAAAGTATTATGATACTAAACTATCTTACTAGCTAATAGATTGTTAAAAGTAGTTTTAAAAAATAGAGATACAGTTTACTCTTAATATGGTACAGATTTGATGATTTAATATTGAACGGTTATAGTTTTATAGCTTGACAAAAGAATAGAAGTTTACTGAACACAATAAAATTGCTTAGTACTGGAAGTGATAATTAAATTATAAGTCTGCAGGTAATGGTAGTAATAAAAGAAAAATAAGAGAAAACAAAAATAATAGTTCATAATAGTAGATTAAAATAAGTAATTATAAAATACAGGGATTATGCTAACTCTTATTATGGCACAAGTTTGACAATATAATATTGCACTGGTTATCAGTTCTATAATAATAGTAAGCAAGTAATAGTAAATAAAAAGAGAGAATATAGTGATCAATTGTACAAAAGTAAAATGGACTGATAGTAAATATGGTGTTGAACAAAATTTAAGCAAGTAATATTAGAAATAGCAGGCTAAAGGACATGAGGTTTAACTTATTTTCTAAATCAAATTTGGAAAAGTTTACTTACCAATCCAGAGCTTGCCATTCGTATTAAGAGTGGTGGCCCCACGTTCTGCAATGCCTTTGACTGGTCGTTCAGTGTCCACTCTGAGAACTCCAAGACGCTTTCTTCTGTGGACTACTAGCGTGTGCCACTGACCATCATCCACACGCACCTGAGTACAGTATAACATTATTTTGGATGACAGGAATGTACATGCCTATGAAAAATACAACTAAGTACATTTGTTTATGTTCAGATGTACAGTTAGTTTAGTATCTTTATTATGCACCCCATACCCATCCTGTGGGTGGTAGTCAAAAAATTACAAAGGTACATAATGGGTCCAGGGACTGGACCCCAAAGTTATGATAGCTGAACTAGTTACAAAGGTAATGAACTCCAGGTAGATCTGGTCACAATCATGGCAAGTTACAAAGGTAATGAATCAGCCTCACTCCTATACCAGTTATGAACAAAATTACAAAGTAATGAGCCACTGATACGTCCACACCTGGTCACAATTGTAATGAGTTATAAATACAAATATTAAGTAGGTCATACACCCACACATGGTAATGCATTATTTACAGCTAGCAAAATCAGGGTATTTCTCCAGAATGGTCTGTAATATACCACTGTGGATAAAATACTTTGCCATTTCTTGAACATTTCTGAGTGAGTTGTTTCTAAATTCATTAATTTGATCACACTCCAGTACATAATGACGCAGGGTGTGACAATAGTCCATCTGGCAAAGTTTACATCTGGTGGTGCTGTATAGTCCTTGTGGCTTAGCGCTTCTTTTTGATTATAATAATAATAATACATCTGGTGGTGGTGATTTAACCTGCCATAGATACTTGTAACCCAGCTGGAGCCAGGCAGTAGTGACATCCAAGAGTCTGCTTATCTTGTTGGATGCACCATAGACATGTGGCTCCTCCTGCATGATGGAATGATGATAGATGGACTGACTTGTGTCAATCTCCCTAAATCTTAAGTCAATAAAGTTCATTTGCAGTTCTTTTCGTATTATTGTTCTCAAACTGATAACCCAAGATTGTAATCTACCCCGTCTTTGAAAGCGCACAGCTTAGCCAATTTATCAGTTCTATCATGCATCTGAAGACCAATGTGAGATGGAATCCACAGCATGTGCACTCTGACTCCACAATCTTACCATACCTATGTCTGGCTTCTGACACAAGCATGCCACAATTTATACTTAATGAGTTGAGAGCATTTATGGATGACAGAATCAGTTACAATTAAAGTGTCAACCTTAGATGCAATTGAGTGCAAGGAGTATGGCAAACAGTTCTGTTTGAAGGGTAGAGGCCCAGTTATTGATGCATGCTCCAATTTCTTTATGAGAGCCATCATTCTGACAACAGCAGCACTACCAGCTGCACCAGTGGACTGGTGAACAGAACCATCAACGTAAATAATTTGTGAAAGAGTGTTCTGTGTGACTAAGTTATCAATACAGCTTAAGGCATCATGTTTGGCTTCAAGATGAAGCTTGAGTTGTGATTTAAGAAGAGTTTTGGGGGGGAATGGGGTAATATCCCATGGAGCAGGGAAATGTCTCCTTGTACAGCAGGCCATCATTTAGCACCGTAGTTACGTTCCTGAAAATGCCGTGTTAGGTAAAATCGTGTTAGAGGAACTGAAGAACTTACAGGAAAAATAGGGTTATGTTCCTGGAAGCCCCCAAAAAGCCAAACAATTTTTTTTTTTTAGGCCTCCACATCTTACAAAAATAAAAGTGAATATGCAGTTGTAGTTCATTGTTGTGATGTATTATGTTGTTTTTACTGCTTAAGACTAGAAATGTATCAGAAATAGTATTTCTTAAATTAAATTGTGGGTGCTGGTGTTTGTGGATGATTGTAAAGAGAGTGAAGAGTTATGATGTGGCCCTACTGGGCTGAGGTAGAGGTTCTGGTACTGAAGGTACTGATGGTTGTACTGGAGTGTCTAACAAAGTCATCCAGTCAGTCAAGACAGTAAATCATTCAGTAAGTCCATCAAGTTATTCAGTAAGTCAGTCAAGTCATTCAAATAAGTTAGTCAAATCACTCAGTAAGTCAGTCATTCACACAAACTCATATTTACCTCTTTTTCTGTGTACAAAGTAACACTTCATTACGGCTACAGGTTATCTCGTCTAATATCTTTGTTAATTCTAAGACTTAACTGCTTATACAATAAAATTAGCAAAATCAGATGAACCCCAACTCCCACCAACAGAAACAGCAAACAGACTCAAAGGTTTCTTCTCCACTATAGGACAAAACCTTGCCAATAAAATCCCAAGCTCAGATACCCCACCAAATGACTACCTCACTGGCAACTACCCGAACACACTGTTCCTAGCTCCGACTAACCCATACGAAGTCTCCCTTATTATCAACGCACTAAAAAAACAAGGCAGGAGATTTAAATACCTTACCACCCTTTATATACAAAAAAGTGTCACAAGTGCTATCACCAATCATTGCAACACTCTTCAACAAATCCATTGAATCCACCTTCCCTACAGTACTCAAAATAGCAAGGGTCACCCCGATCCACAAAGGAGGAGACCAAACAGAGTTGAATAACTATAGGCCAATATCCAACTTACACCCTCTCTCAAAAATCTTCGAAAAATTAATTCATAAACGAATCTACTCCTACCTTATCTCCCAAAACATACTCAACCCCTGCCAATTTGGATTCAGGCCTAATAAAAATACTAATGATGCTATTATACACATGCTTGAACATATATACACTGCAATAGAGAAAAAAGAAGTCCCACTGGGGATCTTCATTGACTTACGTAAAGCTTTTGATACAGTTGACCATGACTTGCTCCACGTAAAATTGTCACACTATGGTATAAGAGGGCACTCCCTCAACTACCTCAAGTCATACCTCAGCAACAGAAGCCAATATGTGTACACAAATGGGGCAAACTCTTCCGCACAACCAATTACAGTTGGTGTCCCACAGGGAAGTGTCCTTGGCCCTCTTCTCTTTCTCCTATACATAAATGACCTACCAAATGCTTCGCAATTACTCAAACCCACACTATTTGCAGATGACACTACATACGTCTTCTCTCACCCGAGCCAATACTGTAAATACCGAATTACAGAAAATATCTACCTGGATGAGGACTAACAAACTTAAACTAAACATTGACAAAACCTACTTCATTCAGTTTGGTAACAGAGCTGCAGAAGTCCCTCTTAACATAATGATAAATGGATCACCTATCACAAAGCTAACAGAGGGAAAATTCTTAGGAATCCACCTTGATAATAGACTCAAATTTCATACACATATACAACAAATTTCCAAGACTGTAGGCATACTATCGAAGATACGGTACTATGCTCCACAGTCAGCCCTCCTGGCCCTATATCACTCTCTTATTTACCCCTATCTCACCTATGGAATTTGTGCATGGGGCTCAACAACAATTAACCATCTCAGACCACTAATTACCCAACAAAAGGCTGCAGTTAAAATAACAAATTCTCACTACAGGCAGCACACTCCACCAATATTCAATACACTAAACCTACTCACCATACAAAAACATCCATACTTATTACTGCACCTATTACATACATAGAACACTTAACTCTGATATTAACCCTCCCTCAAACATCTCCTTGCTAACCTCAACAGAACACATGACCATAACACAAGGCACAGATCACTCTTTGATGTTCCTCGTGTCCATCTCACACTATGCAAAAACTCAATGCACATAAAAGGCCCTAAAATCTGGAATTCTTACCTGTAAATATAAAAGAAACACTACCTGTTTATAAATTCAAGTCTTTCTCAAGATCACTTACTCACCCCAAAAACCAAATAAATACTGAATAACTGAACTTATAATTGTATATCTTAAATGTTTCTCACAATTATATCACATAAATGTTAAACCTAAAACCCAATCTAACTTTATTATTTTTTAAATACACTACCTAACAGAATACTCCATTCGACTGAATGTACAACAATGCATGCAACCATTTGACCTGTCTTTGTAATACTCATTTGTGCTTTATAGTTCTCTGTTTACAATAATGTTTTATCACTGATTTCATCATTGCTTAGTTAATCTTAAGTTAATTTTAAGCCAGCCCGTAATGCTATGCATATAAGTGGCTTTGGCATGCTGCTCTTACCTGTATTTTTTTGTACCTCTGTATGTATGCTCAAATTAATAAATAAATAAATAAATACCTCTTCATGCCACTTTCAGCAACACTGGTATGGCTACTGGGTGTCATGATTGCTTGGCAGATACAAGATATAGTAATTAAAATATCATAACACAATTCACAAACACAGCTGCCTTGTAGCAGAGAAAGACTGGACACACATGAATTACGAACACTGGGATGGTGGGGTGGTGTCGGGGGTGGCAGAGGATGGCGGGAGGGCTCCCCAGCTGCTGGCTGCTCCACAACAAGGCAGCCGCTTGAGCAAAAAAAAATTTTTTTTCCTTCCCACAAACTGAACTGTGTTTAATTATACGACATGTTACATAAAATTGTCCCATTATTCTTCAATCGTGCAATACTCAAACTGTGTCAAATAAACCCGTGCTAAATGATGGTCTACTGTACTGTACTAGATGTTAGGTGTTGAAATCCTGTTTTCATTGCTGTGTGATACAAGAAAGATATCTTGTATTCCCATAAGCTCAATCTCCTCTACCTTGATGCACCGAAAGACACTAGCATAGAGTGCTGCACAAGTTTTTAACCCTTTGACTGTTTCAGCCGTATATATACGTCTTACGAGTCAGTCGCTTATGCCAAATCTAAGGGAAAAACAACATCCAGTATTGGGCCCCTGCTTAGGCGGGATGGGACATACACAGATGATAGCCAAGAAATGAGTGAGATAATAGTCCCAATATGACTCGGTTTTCAGCGATCCACTGCCCACTAAGGGTCGACAATCCAAATGAGTTCTTCATGAACGAAACCCAAAATTTGGCCATCCCAAAACTCTTGGATATTATTGTAACTCCACAAGATTTTGAAGAGGCAATTAATCACATGCCCATGCACTCTGCCCTAGGTCCAGACTCGTGGAACTCCATGTTCATCAAGAATTGCAAGAAGTCCCTATTGCGTGCCTTCAGCATTTTATGGA